AGTTGGACTGTTGGCTGTTTTTAATCATGCCCATCAGATCCAGAGAGTAGTTTATTTAGCTTTTGATATTCTGGCTCAAAGATGCTGCAACGGCTAAATCTATAAATACAGGTAGTGTCTGTTTATAACCGCTGTCCGGTTGGCTAGTATCACCAACTAACACCTGCTGGCAGCATTTGGAAATTCGTTTTGGTTTCAAAGTGCAGGAACCTGGAAGGAAGGATGTTTGGTTTGCTGTAGAAACGCAGATCACAATGGAGATAATCAAACATCGACATGAAGAAACGAACCTCTGAACGATTCCTGAATCAACTCAGACATGTTCACTGACAGTTACTTCACGTATTTGCACTTCAGTCTGTTGGAGATGAGTTCATTTGTTTTCTGGCTAATATACTGCGTTGCCATTTACGCCCCGACCTACTTCCTGTTTTAATTGTGAACAGACCCGCCTCGATTCTTCCTGCCAACCCTTGTGAGCTGTAAAAATCCACCAGACTGTATCCCCATCACAGCGTGCGGCTGCTTTAATTCCTGTATGAGAAAGAAGCAGGCATGTGACGGCCGTGGCAGCCGTCCAGTAACTCAGCAGTTTAGCAGCAGGGAAGCCACTCAGCTGACCTCTGATCTGGAAAAACTCCCTAATATTCCTGGACTTCTATAACCGGCATAAATCCTGAGACCAGAATCACTTCAACGTGGCTCATTTCTCTCCAGGACGTAGACGGGTCCCGACTGAACGGGGGTAAAGCAGGCAGAGAGCCGAAGCAGCTGCTGCGCTGAAAATGGTTGGTGTTTATGTAACGCCTGCTCCAAACCGGGCTGTTTGCGTCTGTTGACACCTCATGATAGCCTGTCAGTCAAAGAGCAGGGAAAGCAGAAGTGGAAGCACAACGGGGACACTGTGTTCACACACACACACACACACACACACACACACACACACACACACACACACACACACACACACACACACACACACACACACACACACACCACTCCTTTGTGTTTGTCTTTAAACGATCAACACAAGTGGGCCGATTTCTGAAGCAGTTTCAGAAAGTTGAATGTTTTTATCAGTGAGAAGCAAATCATGACAACAAAGAGAAAACCTCCATCTGGAAACCTCGTGAGCGAGAACGAGGAAGGGTGTGTGTACGTTCAGACGGAGAAAAATCAACGCACAACAAAGAGAAAAAATGTGTGTACACAGAACTGAGAGTGTGGCTTTCCTAATGCGCAGGGAAGGAGGGAAGTTCAGCTGAGCTATTAAAAGACCACAAATTACAACTCGAGGCAGCCAGAAACATCCTCAGCGCCGCAACCAACACTTCAGAGCCGATTCGACCCGATTCGACCCGATGCGACCCGATGCGACCTGATTCCTGTTATCCCGCTCATGTTGAAGGTGTTTTCTAAATCCAGAATCTGCAGGACTAGTCGATCCGTGTTGTTCTGCTTCTCCGCCTGATCAGTTTAGCGACCGTCCTGCTCAGGACGTGTTTTTACTTCTTCTGGTTTATATTTTCCATATTTCTGGTATTCTGGTCGGTCTGTTTTCCACTCGGGGTTTTGTTTTTAGTTTTTTTGCCGTCCCACATCCTCCTCTCTCAGTCACTCAGCGGAGTCCAAAGTTTCTTCCATTAACGCCAAAACAGTTTGGAGAATTCAACGACCAGGTTTTGTCTTTTTAATCAAAACTGGAAAGATTTACGTCTGGAACATTAATTGTTTTTAATCGCTGTAATAACATTATAATTTAGGAAAAAAGCAAAGCAGTCTCCCAACGTTGACGAGGATTTATTTGTTTTCTGACTTGCTGGATTTAACATGATGTCATCAATGACAACAGAAACAGTGCTAATAGTGGAACATTTTTGATGACTTCTTTCTCTTTAAGCCTCTTGGCATTTTTTTATATTTCACATTCATTTGAAAATCCTCCTGTTTTGTGGAACATGCTTGTCTCTTTTTGTTTGCTTTATGCATCATGTGAGACGTTTAGGAATCTTTTTCCGTTCCTTCCTGAAGATTTCTAAACTAAGTTTCCTTGATTAGTTATGATTGTCGCCTTGTTTGATTTTATTGTTAGTATTTTCTTTAGTTGTTTCCAGTTTTAATTAACCGTATTTTACATTATTGCTATTCTCTGTCTGTCTGGCCTGTTTTGGACCATTTGTCTTCGATGTCTTTCTAACTTCATCTCTTTCCGTTTCCTCTTTCTCCTCTGTTCTGTTGGTATGTGGGTCGTATCTGACTTGTCTCTGGTTGTGCTGCAGGTGTTGTGAAATGTTTCCATCCTTTAGCAGTTTAGGCACATTTCTGGAACAGGTTTGGTGAGTGTGTTGGAATATGTTCGTCCCTTTCTGGTTGTTTGCCTCCTTGTTTTTAAAGACATTTTATGTCCTTATGGTGCGTTTCAATCTGTTTTTCTTTCTTTTCTGTAAACTTTTCAAACATTTTTGATTCATTTCTGATTGTTCATCTAACGGGGAACATCCTTTAGTGATTCTCAACGTTTCTCGGTATTTGCTGCTGTGTTGTCACTCTTTGTGTACTGTTTGAGTACAAGGGTCAGTTACAGTTGTACCCTTTGGGGCCCCTGTTGTTGTCCTTGTTTAGTAATCCATCCCAGGGCGTGGCGTGTGTGTTTAGATAACACATGAACAGTGTGTCCTGCAGCAGGTCTCATGGTGTGTAGGTCATCTACCAGGCTGTTTCTAGTCGTGAAGTGGCTCAAATGAGTCTTTGCGGTCACCAGAAAGACGACACAAAGAGAGAAGACAGACGGAGACAGTGAGGATAAAACAGAGCTCTGTCTGAACATGAAGGAGGTCTGCCTCAGAAACTGGAACAATGGCTGCGTTGTGAGCTTTGGATGTGAGATCAAACCCTCTGGTGTTTCCCAGCAGCCCCCAGTCCCCAACCTGCAGCTCCGCCCCACTCTCGGGGACAAGTCGGAGACATGGAGGACACGAAGGACAGACAGAGAGCTCCTCTTTCTGCAGCAACACTGGCCTTCCCATGAGGCGTCACACAACCAAAGTTTCGCCTTCGGACAGCCTCACCAATGAGACGCATGCGAAGGCTGCGCCGTCGACATGCGGCTCAAAGTGCTGAAACAGAGTGTGGAAAATATGCAGCGTTCCCCCGACGCCAAGGTTGAGTTTACCCTGCGGAGGCCGGAGGATCAAAGCACTTCCTGCTTAGTTACTGTCCTGGTCCCTCATCACTAAGTGGGGTCCTGACAGGCATCAAGAAACAGGAGGGGGAGGGGGGCCAGGAAGACATGGGAACGTCTTCAACGCTCATGATACTTTCTGAAACTTTTCCAGAACTTACAGATTATATTCTGGACCTCACAGGTTACTAAAGTAGTTTATATATCTGATGTGAAATCAACATCCAGAATAGCTTTTGTCAGACTTTTGAAACAAAACATATATTTTGCTAAATTTCAGAAAGTAACTAGTTCGCTGTGGGTAAAGTTAACCTCAAAGTTATCGATAACCCTGGAAGGTTTAGTTCCTTTTTATTGAATTATGATGTTTGTTTCTGATAAAAAAATTAGAAAAACATCTCTTAAAGGATAATGAAACATAATATTAAATCTGTGGAGGAGTCACATCCAGTCAAAGCAGGAGAGTCTGAAAGAAATCCTGAACTCTATCAGAGCTTTATAAACTTAATTTTATGAAGTGACTTTCAGCTGTTTAAAGTCTGATGTTTTATTGTTTTCAGTTAAATCTGACCTTGTCCTTTCATCTGGTCCACCTTCAATTGTTTCCTGCCTTTAATCTCTACTTTTATTTGACTCTTTGTGGGTCTTAAAAGCTCCCATGTGAACATGGCATCAAAATTACAGGGGAGGGAATGAACCTGCAGAATGATAACTTATGGCAGAAAATTATTGTCATTACACCTCCACACATCCAGCTAGCTCCACTCACATCCAGACAGAGAGCCGTGACTGCAGCGGCCCCCAGTGCTGCAGCGCCTGCATGAACCGCGGCGTCGGCCTGACGGTAACCAGACGCCCCGCGCTGCCAATAATTGATGATCCCGAGGCAACAAAGCTGGCTGTGCGCAACGGGTAGCGAGAGAAGAGAACCAAGAGCCAAAAGGTTCTATTTTGGAGAGGAAGGGGCGTTAGTCTTCAGAGAGAAGAACAAAAACTCCTGTTGATGCAGAAGCAGTTTCATTTTTCTGTGATGTGGTCATGCTTCACCTCCTCCAATCACCATCTGCTTCTCTGAAGCACACATATCTACAACCGGCTGGTGGACGGCTGGCCGCCTCCTCTGCCTCATATCACACCTGCCCTGCTGAGGAGGCCAGATTTAAATGTACGGTGAGCCAGAGGGGTCAGACTCAGCTGCGCTGCGCTCCGGCTTCGCCTGGATGTGATGTGAGCAGCAGAACAAAGTCAGGAAGTTTCCTGGAAGCTCAGCAGCCAAACCCTCGATGATCTTTGGACGACACGCGATGATGACAGAAATAGAGGAGGTTTTACTTTCAAATAAATAATCAGCTGAGCCCCGGAGGACGCATTTGTCTTTTCAAAAGGAGTCAGAAAGTATCGTTCTTCCTCTGCTTCGCTAACAAAACAAACCCTTCCTCTGCTTCACCTCTTTTCCAAGAAAGCAGCTCCAGCTTTCTTGGAAAAGATCTGGGCTCAGTTTCTTCTACATGGCAAAAACACAAAATCTAAACAAGTATTTCTGTCTAGTTTCTGGGAAAAATGCTTCAGTACAATTGAACTTAAAAGCTTCTTTTTAGCAAGAAATATGAGTTTGTTTTAAGACAGTAATTCCTTAATGTTGATGAAAAAGTTATTTCACTTATAAGAAGAACTTTTTCATCAACATTAAGGAATGATTTACTAAAAACAAGCTCCTATGTTGAAAGTCATGACACGGATTCTCAGTGTTATTTAGATCAGGGCTTTGACTATACCATGCACTGTATCTCAGGCTGCGTTCTGCTGACCCAACACTCACCGTTAAAGAAGCTCTTGACCTTGAGGTAGCCGACGCTGAGCCGCAGCACCGACAGCTTGTCGAGCCGCGCCCGCACCTCCTCCGGGAACGGCAGCAGGCTGGTGAGCTTGTCCAGCTCTCCGTTGAGGCGGTCCCGGTGGCGTTTGGACGGGTTGGACTTGATGCCGTCGGGCGGAGGCGGCTTAGGCCTGCGGACAAAGAGACAAAGAGCAGTGAGAGTCCGCTCGGTTCCCACATCGGAGCAGCGCGGCTCTCCGCTGGGAGCCGGAGGTCGGCTTTGACTGAGAAAGGTCGTGAAGACCAGAACGAGCGCTGAAGGTGCAACTGAAGCGGACGTCTGCGTGCGTCAGAGATCCACAGCTGCTTCTAATCGGCGCTTCGCCGCAGGAGGGACAACATGCAAACATCTCAGAGAACTGGGGGCATCGCTCTTCATTTATTGTGATATTTTTCAATTCATGGTGAGAACTTTGATTCATTCTCATGATTAATTCATGTCAGATTTAATAGTTTTACTATTTTCTCTGATTTTGTTCAATAAAGCATCAATAAATAAAAAGGAGTAAGTAGGAGTGTTTATAATAATAATAAATAAATCAAATCATTATCACAATATTACCATGAAGCAATAGGCTCGGCCCTCCTGCTGCCCTTTCAGTTTAAAGTCACAAAACGCCTCGACGCTCTGCAGGGCGCCTGCTTCAGCCCCGGTTACCAGGGGAACCAGGTGAGCGGGAATGAGGTCAGCTGTTTTCCAGGACTTGTTTACCGCCTCCTGACGGAGAGCAGATCCAGAAGCAGAGCGTATCGACTCATCATGAACTGCCTCTTTAAATCTCCCTGGCAACCACAACACACATGCTTTTCCTTAAACACCAAAAAACTATAAAACAGATTTCCCTCGGGTTTTGGCTGCGTTGTATCCGACCCTTGACCTCACAGGTGGGGCTCACACAGAGATAAATCAGCTTCAGAGGAGAATGCTCTGATGGGTCAGAGGTCAGCTGAGGCTGCAGCAGAGCAACAAGTTCTGCTGCAGCTTATTGAAGCTCAAAACCCATTAACCTGTTAGCTCTCATGCTTCAGATTTTAGTCAAAACAGATTCAGCTGTTTTAGTTGACAAAAAAACCACAAAACTCCTCAAATAGAAGAGAAAAGCTAAATAAGGAATAAGAAGAGCCAAATATTTGACTAAGCAATCAGAGATGATAAACAAACCTTGATTAAAGTCAACTTTTCACTTTTAGTAAAACTCTGACATGCTGGTTTTAAGTTACACAGCTTCCAGCTGCTCTGCACAATAACAATGAATAAAACAAGTGGAGAGTTAAAGCTGCAACGCTCCACCTGTGGAAGGAAATCTGTCAGGTTTCTCCTGGGAACTCAAACAGACTGATGAGTCAAAAAGAGAAATTAAAAAGAGAAGGAAAATAATAATTAAAAAGACAAAAATAAACAAAATTTACATCTTAAAAATTGAGGGAAAAATGCCAGAAATATTCAAGTAATTTCAGAGTAGCAATTGTCACTGTGTTAAAACAAGCTTCTCTCTAAAACTGAACCTTAAAATAAATGAATAAATATATTTATCTCTTTCTTTTGACAGTAAACTGTTTTGTGGAACATTGTAAATGCTACAGTGCAACTGAATGAATTAAATATTCACATTAAGAGATGACAGAGAGAGCGCTGCTGTAATAAAATAAACCATTGTTTCAATCTCAAACAAAAACAGATAAAACTATCACCAAGGAGACGTTTTGAAAGGTCTTAAATCTCAGACAGGAGATCTGTGAGTCTTACTGTTACTCAGAGTTTCTCAACCGGCTGCCAACGTTTATAAATCATGTTTTCACATGAGTTTCTTCTTCTGACTTCACCGTTTGATCCGGAGACCTGCTCTTACTAGAACAAACTGGCCACCTACTGACGGTGCATTCACTGGCTGACAAAAGATGGGAATTCTCTGCTTCCACCGGTTGAGCTCATCAACCAGTTTCAAGATGGCTCCCAGTGAGAGTGTATTTTATCATCCATGATCATCTGATTCCAAAATAAAATAAAAGATGCAACAAATATCGGCAATCTGAGAATCAGGGCAGGGCAGTGAGTTGGGTATAGGAATTGGCCCAAATATTGGTGCGTCTCAAGCCAATATTTTTCACAATGCCAGGAAAAACCAGGAGCCCAGAGTGAAACTAACACAGTGACCAATGTGTGTGAACATTAAAGTCATATTAAGATTTCAGGGCAAGAAAACCCACAAATCCTGACAACATTAAATCAGTCAGTCTGGCCTTCAGTTGTTTTCTAAAGCAGAACAGAATTTGAAATGCTTTTTTTAAGAACGACAGCGCTTTGGGAGGTAAAACTTTATAAAATAAAACAAGCTGTATAATATATGAATGATGAAAAACCACAAACTGAACCAGGCTGATGCTACAAACTGAAAACAGGTTGCTTTCTTCACAGAGCAGAACCTTTATATCCAATGTCTAAATGTAATTTTTCACTTTACATCTAAAAAAAACCACAAGAACAAATTTTCACAAATACAAATCTTGATTACACACAAATTCTTATCTATAGAAAGATAAAATCCTCCACCATTTAATTTACAAGGTTATAAAACTGTCTTCACAGCGACATCGTCTGATTTACAAGCACAAAATATTTATGACCGAGATAAAGTCAGACGTTCAGCTGTCGCTTTCTTAAACCTGCTCTGAGGAAATGGGGATGTGGAGTCACAATGCCGGTCAGAACCTGAGCAGAACTCAAGTGTTTTTGTCACTAGCTGTCATCTATCACACAGGTTAAGTCTTTAACTCAGCATTTCTCCTCCAGGATAAATAAATCACAATGTGTCACACACTCTGTTTAATGTGCAGCATTAAAATGTGTATTTGTGTAAAATAAAAGTGTAAAAAGTGTCCTTTCCTGTCTTGTTAATAAGACATCTGTTCCAAATAAAACTGTGGTGCTCGACATATCTGGAATCAAGGAGAGATGACTATCGCTGCATTCCTGACGGCGTTCCCTGTAAGAACAATGAGCAGCCAGTGTTGTTGCTTCTCGTCTTATCGAGCAGATCTGTCCTGGAAGGGGCGTGTGCGCTGAAGAGTGTGTGTATGTGTGTTTTAGACTTTAAGAAACTCTCTCCTGCGCGTTCACAAAGGCACTTTGTCCATGACGGGGCAGCAACACCTTTCCAGAACAATAGAAACTAAACACGGTGTTCTCTGCTGCAGTTATGATCCAGAAACTACAGGAGGATCATTTGAGCTCATAACAGAAAACACCACACCTGAGCTAATAAAATACCTGCAAGCCAACACTCAGAGTATCACAAATATCAGCAACAATCACACATATTGGCTGTGTGATGATATAATGCACCTTTTTACAGAAAAACAGGGAGATATTGTGAGGAATTTATTGGTTTTTCAGCCTAAAAGCATCCAAATAGTTTCTGTTTTACTGGCTGCTGCTTTAAAAGCAAAGTGAACTCAGAAAAGGTCAAACCGTCTTTAAAATCTCTGTTCAAATCCTCCACACATCGCTTTCCTCTTTATAGCATCAGCTCTTAAGCACAAAGAGTCCTTTCAGCTTGTGTTTGGTCAGAAAGCTGAGGGCCTGATTTTCATCACATGTCAGTCATGAGAGACAGAGGGAGACGCTGCGTCTGCTGCAGCTGTCCCTTCACTTAACATTTTACACTCACTGCAGCGTGACCTCGCCACAAACCCAAACCAAACACCGGCGTCTGACCGCCAAGCTGCACAAGAACCCGCTCCAATCGGAGGCCAGAAGCGGGTCAGCTCAGGTCGTTTATTAGAAATGTAAACCAAGACGTTTTCAGACCTTATCATCTGAAAGAAATGCTGCAATAAAAGCAAACAACCTGCTTCCTCCTCTGACCTGAACCTTGTTTTTATGACTAATTGTATTGTATTGCAAAGTTCTGTGTTTGCGGAATGAAAACTGCAGATAAGTATTACCAAAGAGCCTGATTTCAATGTGGCTGAGCTCTGTGGTTGATCTGGGTAAGCCGCATTTGTTCACAGACAATAAAAACTGGCAGACGTCACGTGACACATCTGCAAAACAATCAGAGCCATTCTGGATCAGGTGCTAAGCTAACCTGTAAACACCTGCACAGGTACTGAGCTCTAAACCCAATGGATCCCCTCAAACAGAAACACACACACACACACACACACACCTCCGTTTTACCTGCTTTCAGCATTCAGAAAGTCCCAGCGTCTCTTTTGGAATCTTTCCAAGCCAATAAAATCTCGTCTAGAGCAGAATCACTGATCTCACCTTTATATTAAAAGAACACACTCGTTAAAGTGTTGCAGAGAAAACACCTGGATGGAAACCCATCTGTAGCTGGAGCAACTTCAAGAAACCTTTCAGCTCAGTTTCATTCAATGTCCTGCTTTTGTTGCTTTGTATAAACCGTCCAGGTATTACCCATATCAGTCAGATTATACCCCCTTCATAATTAGTCTGACTCAATGAACCTCTGCTAACTCATATTATCAAACTTTGACCTCTTCCTGTTTCAACCTCAGCCTCACGTTCTCCTCCAACACCAGTGTCCGACCTCAAATATGGGCTAAAAAAAAGGGTAAAATCTGTGTGAAGCCTACACACACTCACACACACACACACACACACACACACACACACTCACACACACACTCACACACACACACACACACACACACACACACACACACACACACACACACACACACACACTCACACACACTCACACACGTAACCACAACCAATAAATGTGGTTATTGCAACTTTATTGTGTTTAAAATCATGGCAGAAATACTTCAGCAGCTTCTTTGTCCTCCAGATCGATTGGAGTGGATCTAAATGACAAATCAAGCGTCTTATCTCTGTAAAGGACAGAAAAGTCCGCTGTCAGAGAGGAAGTGAGTGAGCAATCTCCAAAGTATTCAGCTGCTGTGATGACTGTGTGGGAGGAAGCTGAGCAGCCTGCAGAGCCGTGACCTCAGCCTCCAACATGTTAGGGATGAACTTTCACACATCTGGAGCCTCCACCTGCGTCCAGGTGTCTGTTCAGGCTTCCCCTTTCTGCTTCATGATGCTGGTGTATTTACTCACACAGAAATCACCACAAATGGAAACTTTTCTGCTCGTGTTAGAGCGAGTGAGCGCAGAACTCGCCCAACCAGCTCCATTTCCCTACAAATAAAGAAAGATAAACTCCCTGGGAGCCACTTTTCCTAAAACCCCGAACATGGCAGACTTATGTAACGTTTGCGTGACACAAAACTATGTTAATTTGAGTCGAGGGAGGGAAGAAAAAAACACCCCCCCCTCCTTCAACAAAACACACAAAGACATAAGGAAAGACAGGAAAAAAAGTATGTTGTGGCAGTCAGAGGAGGAGGAGAAAAATAGTGAGCGAGTCTCAGATTACGCCATCCTCCCGCTCTCCCTCCTCCCTCGTGGAAACATTGCGTGAGAGCGCTCTAGCTGCACGTCCTGATTATGATTAATGCAGGTAGCGCCACACACACACTGAAACCGCGGTTCTGGATGGGGTTCTGCCACGGATCTGCGCTCAGACTGTTCGGAGCGGCTCGCGTTTGCTCTGCTTTTGTTGAGAAGTTGAACTATAAACCATTTAGATGAGAGAGGAGGAAACAGAAAAGGGTTAAAGAAGCCTGGAGCGGCTGGAGGACGGCTAAAAATGACTTTTATTACTCTCTGAGAGGCTGATGTGGTTTTATTTCTGCACATCGATCCCTCATTTTGGTCCATACAGACCCATTAGAATCAGCGTTACATTCGACTATCTGTTGCTTTGCAGCTTTTTGTTAACTAATAAAAAAAAACAACTTTTAAGTTATGAATACTTAGCAATAAAAATACACAATTACCCTGTTATTAAAACACAATACAACAGTCTGGGTGTTTATTTTAATCCTTCAGGAGGCAAATCATCTTTAGGTTTGGTTGATTTAATTCATTGTTTGGTTAAAAATATTATTTTGTTCACTTAGTTTTGTTATTTTCAGATCCACTTTTGACTACAGTGAAACTATGTCTCTTCGAGGTTCAGTTTTTACAAAATATGCTGATTTTTTTCTGAAATATTCTCAGACTCAATGCCACTAACATACTATATAATCCAGGAGCATCATTCATTTCCTTGGTGATGATTGGCTGTAAGAGGTAAGGAAGACTGTAGATGTTAGCTTCTGCAGTAGCGCTAAGATACATTTTAATCCAAAGCTGTGTAAATTTGGCATTTGAACTATAACAAAAGGGCAGTTATGAGGTCTAAAGTTTTCACTGATGGTGCACTGTAATGAACACTGTAACAGAACACTAAGGTTTGTTTTTCTAACTTTAATATGCTGACACAGCATCATTTTAGACCAAAAGCAAATCATTCAAACCAAAAAGACAGATCAGAAATAAAAGATCCTCATTAGCTGGCCTGAAAAACACAAAATTAAATCCTCTCTGAACGAATGATCAAACAGAAAAACTGTTTTAGAGATTTTTTAAAAATCTCTGACATGCTACAACAAATTGATTCCTTCTGGTGCAAACCTAGAACGTCCTATGTCACTTTAAAGAAAAGTACAGAAACTAAAGGACTGAATAATCAGTGTATCCACTTTGACCAGTGCACCAGAATGGCCATAATAAGCAGCATATCAGCACAACCACCTCAAACCAACTGGGAAGCATGGTGGTGGAGGGGTAGTGATGTGGGCTTGTTTTGCAGCAACAGGACATTTCTGCTCCAACCAAACAGGCCGTGGTGTGTTTGGCAGAAAAACAAGTCAAATCTGTTTAAATAAGGAGAACCGGCGGCCATATTGGCTTATTGAAGCAGCATGGGATGCAAATCCAAATCCAGAGGTTCGAACTGAACAGAGGACCACCACCAACTGGTTTTATCACGGGTTTACTGAAATCAACACAGTTCACATTAACCCGATGTACAAGGAGATGTGTGTGAATGTGGTCGTTAACAAAGAGATCCTGTTACTTATTCGGACAAAACTCACCTGAAATATTCAAGGTTCATCTCGCATTACGCTCAAGGACCCTTCAGAGAGTCCTCAGAGGGGAAATCCAGAGAAAAACACAAACATGTTTTGCTTTCATAACTAGAAAACCAAGAAGGTTTCCCCTAAAATGCGGAACCAGCCATGCGGGGATAAATGGATCGAAATGATGGCTGGGATATTTCCCAACACACAGCGTGCAGCAGCTTTATTACAGCTGTATAACTGTGTAACAACAGGCTGCTGCAGTGCACGGACTGGTCTGGATGTGTTTGCACAGCGGAACCTTCTTGTTTTGAAACCCGAAAACAAATAAACAGATTTTAGCGTAACGCTGTTATTAAAACAATCAGATTCTCTTCCTTAGCAGCCCAAAAAAGCACAAAACTGGGAATATATGTTTGAATGACTGTTATTCAAACATATATTGCAGTTGTTAAAAAAAACAATGTAGTGAAGTTATTCTCCAGCCAACTTACGTTTTCTGCACCGGCTTCTTCCGTTTCTTCATGGCGTACTGCGCCGTCGGCAACATGGTGAGGCAGCGACGAGTCCAAACTACTGAAAAGTAGAGCTTTCCCGACTTTAAAAACACCTAAACACGCCCAGACCGGTTTGGAAAAGGCACATTCCCCGAAAAATATCAAAATGAAACCGATAATAACAGCGAAAATGGAGGAGAAAACTCGACGGCTAGAACACCCCGTTAAGCTCGACTTGTTTGCTTCGGACCGCGGAGACTTTTCCGGACTTTTCTCGCTACGGCGACATGGCAAGAGGTAGCAAACCGTCACAACTTGTTATACTCGGGTTGTTCGAGCGTTTCCACACCGGTATCATCCGAAAAAAGTCCGAACTTGGAGCAGTTGAAGGTGTTCCCTCGGAGGGCTTCACAGAGAGGATCCCTGTCTGCGGCGGCGGCGCCCCAGTTGTGATTTGACGGAGCAGAGCAGCGGCGTAATGTGTGTCACTGTAACATCAGAGCGGAATTATTTAAGGTAGACCGACCACAGCCGCACAGGGACTACACAGGCACTATCTCCCTGGAAGACCTTAAGAAGAGTTTTGTAACAATTACACTTGGACAACTGTTCAACTTGGAGAATCTATACTTTCATAATGATAAATACCTTATTTGATGTGTAAATAAACAGTTATAGTTTATATGTAGTACAAATTGTTCTTTCTTTTGGTTTTTGTCACACTTAAAGCTGCTGTATGTAACTTTTATATGTAAAAAGAGGTTTTTAACATATTTGTTAAAGCTATTACCATGTTGTGACATTATAATATGAAAAAGATAATCTGAGAAGAGGTCTTCCTCCCTGGCCTGCTATTGAAATCTGAGGAAATGCACAGCTCTGGTAAAAAAACAACAACAACTAGTCAGAACCAGGAGGAGGGTCTTAGTGCTGTCAATCAACCCTGTGAATGTGTTGCTACATGTGTTAATGGTGAATAACTAACTTACTTGCCGTCATTGGTATCAATGCTAACGTGTCTTAGCATTCACAACGGGCTCTGGTGATTATCTGTATCCCTATACAAATAAATAAAAAATCTATTTTTAAAAATGTTTTTAGTTTTACTGCAGCTATAAATGTTTTAAGATCATTCGAACAAAAATATGAATAAAAAATGATGTAAATAAACACAAAAAGCAGTTTTCAAATGTCTTAACTTTAGTCATAAAATCATAAATTAATTAAAAACTACCTCTTGTCATTACTATTTTGTATTTACTGATTTTTTTTTTTGATGATTTGAAACATTTTAGTGTTGCAAAAAAAATCCAGAGATGTACTTTTTTCAGCACCTAAACAGAAATAATTACCTAATACTTTTGAACAAAAACAGTATGCAGAAGTTTAGTCCTAATGCACAGCTCTGTGTTTGAGAAAACCAAACCCATCACGCCAAAAGGCAGTGGATTTTTGTACAATTCACAGATTTAAATAGTTTTGCCACCTGTTTTTTCCTGTTACTAGTTAAGCTAAAACATTCAGTTTCCAAAAAAAAAAAACATGTTTTTCCACCTAACATCTTTTACATTGCGATATTCTTAATGATTAATGAGTCTAATGCAGCTACTGAAGACTTTACTGTCTAATGTGTGTGGGATTTTCTACAATCAGTCTGATTTCATGTATTAAAAAGAACAAGATGGCTTCACAGACTGTAAATGAGTCATTCTTTCTGGGGACAATCAGCAGCTGAAGACTGAACTTCTTCCCCTGTGGCTGAACTCTTCCTGCGCTGGCTCGAGGTTTGTAATCACGAGGTGCCTGCTCATATTTATTTAATGTTTGGGTCGTTTGGCAGTCACTCACCGTATCCTCCTACGCTCTGTCACACTGAGGTGCATTGGCTTCTACAAAGCTATAAATGTGAAGGATTCCTGTGACGTTCCTTTTATTCAGTGCAGCCAAAGTCGGTGTGATATATCACTGTTGTTGTTGAGAAAAACCTGCTTCAGCACGCCAAAGACTAAATTTACAAAACCAAAAGGCAGACAGACTCACATCTCGGGGCTTTCAGGGTGAAAAACAAGAACCTTGGTATTCGCTGGTCCTCACATCTGACGTGTGAAGCAGTTTTTGCTTGTTTCTGATTCAAGACACCTTGTAGGGATGACTCAGGTGGTGTAATGTTTCAGGAATTCAAGACTGCAAAAGAAGAATTATCACATATCAGGATGCAAACAGTCCTGACAGAAAAGCTTGTGCAAACAAAGACGGCAAATATGTGCAAAAATCAATGAGATGACAGAAGAGAAAGCTGCGATAATGTCCGGTCAGTGGACTCAGACTGACCAAGCTGCCAGCTGTTTATCCAGGAACGTAAGGCAGTCTGAGGCGGACGGTTGTGGTGTGATGTCTGCTTTGCCGCAGAACATGATGAGATGCAATGAAAGGCGCTGAAGCAGAAACAGCCTTGAGATAATTTGTGCTTTGGGAGCTGATGGCCCTGTAACATTAACGACTAAGCAAGGTACAAACATATGGTCATTAACCAGGCGAGCAAAGAAACACGACAAGGGAAAGAAAGAGGGAACAGGTGGAAGACGCCATGAAGCAGGTGAAAACAGAGATGAACCAGGAAAGTAAATAATTATAAAGAAGTTAATACTTTTCTGAATATTTTCATTATTTCTGTGATGTCTTTAAAGGAGCTTCATTGGTCACTGGTGGCTGAAATCTGCTGACATGGAAACTTCAAGCACGAACTGAAACTTCAAAGATCTGTTTAGTAATAATGTAAATTTCTTCAAACAAAGAAGAAGTAACTTTCACCCTTCCAGTTTCAGTTTTGCTGCTGCGCTGAAGGAAACTCTGGTCACACAAAGCTGATTGATCTGGACAGCTCAAGCTTTTAAACAGCCTTTTCCTGTAATTAGAGCAAATAAAAGTTCTTAACGGAAGAAGTAAAGTCTTTGGCTGATGGAGAGACTGAAGTTTTCCTCTGATCAGAGCTTGTCCCTGGATTAGGGAATCTGCCTGTTTCTTGTTGCCGGGATTAACTGTACAGAGAGCAGAGCTGTCTGAGGAGCCAGCAGCCTTTGTTTCCCATCATTAGCCGCCCAGATCCATGACTAAACGGCACCGTTTCAAACACTGGCAGCACCAAAATGTTAACTTTCCACTGTGCCACCGCAGACCACCGCAGCATTTTATTGCGACATGCAGAGGTGGCATTTACATGGCAGTAAAAGCTCCAGTAGGTCTGGGTACAACTTGCTAATTTTCTCCAACGTGAAGCTGGTGAGGCTTCATATCAACAGCTGTTTGTCAATGCTCAGCAATTTCAAGAAAAGGTAATCCAGTTACTCCAGGAAAAACGTAACAGTTGATGATTCAGCTGCATCCAATCTGCTGGAACGGCTTCAGAGAGTTCGGTTTGGCCAGAAGATCTTCTTCCTGATGGCTCTTTGTGCTTTTGTTTTTGACATTCAGTTGTGTTTTCTTACTGTTGATTCATGTTTAGCTGCAGTTTTTCTGATTCTATCAGTTGTATTAGTTCATTCTGTGGACTACACTTAGAGGATCCAGCATTCACCTCCCCAGTCCAAAAATCTGCTGTTCACACCCATAATTCCACTTCCTCCTGAGCGCCTTCTCTACCTTTTGCTTAATGTTCCCAATAAATCTACTTCCTTTAGGTCAAATAACTAAATACCCTGACCTTGAATAAAATCCATTACTTTAAAGTGGTGGAGCTGTTTAACCCTCCTGGGTCCACTTCACATTTCACATAGCATTGATGTTTTCATGCAGCCTGCAAAAAGCTGAAGATCTGCTCCGTATTAAAAGTAAACCTTGGGCTAGTGGCATAAAAAACATTTTTTGGAACCAATGTTTGTGTTTTCTGAACTGCCAACTCATCTCTGCTGCTTTGTGTTCAGTTTATAAAACAAACGATGGAAATGTGGAGCAACTTTCCAGACTCACAACGTCTCAAATTAACTTCTAGGAATAAAGTTGGCGAATGGGGAGGTGATTATAGGTTGTTGAAGCGGCGGGCCGGTCCTGGTTCTGTCCTGGTGAACAGAAAACCCAGCAGGATGAAGATCTGGTTGAACCGCTGGTTCAGCCAGGCTGCTGGTAAATTAACAGCAGATGTTGCTGAGTTTGGATGTTGAGTTTCGAGTCGGACTGGACTTTATTCCTGAGCGACAAACAAAGAGAGCATTTTTCCTCCTGTTCTTATTTAATTGGGAAATGTAATTCCTGCTTTGGCCTTAATGTTATTAAAAAGGTCATTTAAATTAAATTAGGAAAAGTCAGGAAATAGGTGCCCATTTTTTACAATGAAACTCTATTAATTGCATGTTGCAGGTTGTTTTTAGCAGTTTTAGAACATTTTTGGAAACTGCTAAAACAAGAAGAGTTCAACGAAATGGATTAGTTACTAGTGATTTGTTCAAAAACCAAACCTTGTTCAAACATAAAGGCTGCATGTCTATAATATCCCAACCTCTGGCAAAGGAATCTGTTTGTTCAATATGAAAATGTGTGATTTTTTTCCTCTCAGATCTTACTTGTATGATGCTTTTTGTGTGTTGAGTATTTATGAAGATCAGACAGGAAAATTTGCTTCTTTTTGGCCCCTTTAGCCTCCCATAACTGAGTGGCAGATGGTTGTTAGCCTTAAAGCTATGGTTCAGTTTAGAACATGATGTTCTGTGCAGGCACAGAGATGAATAACCACTGTTCAACTTTCCGAGTTATCAGACAAAAAAACAGTTGAATGTGAATTTGGAAGAGTCTTTGAAGTGTGTCGGATGCAAATCTAAATCAGAAGATATTCAAATGGTTCTGAAATGGAGAAGGACGCTTTCAGGTTTCAGAATGACTTCCTCTTCTGTTCAGGATGAATTTGCACCAAAACAGAAAGTTTTCGTTCCAAAGATCAGGAAGTTGATCCAATTAATCAGGTTGGATATGATTTGAATTTTGCAAATTCTTGTTACTTACTTTCACTATTTCATATGAACCTGATCAAAGTTGGTGGTTTGAAGCAAACTTTTTGCATAATCTAATAAAAATATCAACAGTATACAGACATCCTTCTAAAACCACAACATTTATATAGGATAACAGCTTATAATTTATGACTAAACTAATTACATGTTAGCAATAGAACCATATTCCTCCTGCTAGCAGATGTCTGTGTCAACATGTTATGTATTTTATTATGAAACATGTAAAAACATCTGGATTTGATGAGCATATTTCAGCTGCAGCAGCTGATTCTGATGGTAGAAAGGATCTGAGAATTTTAATCTTTTGCAGATTGTAAACGACTGGCTGAGTGATGCAGGAGTTTGAAAGTTTAGCAAACATCTCCACAAAAACATGAAAATACTTACAAAACTCTGCAAATGTATCGCTAAGGAAGAGACAATAATTCATGCTTTTGTGTCAAATTTAAATGCTCCAGAGCA